ATGAATTAAATTAAAATTAAAATTTATATTTTTTAATAAATTAATTTTTTTTAAAAATACTAAATATAATTTAATTTGTATCTATAGACACCTGTTAGAAAACTAAAAAGTTTAAATAAAAGAATTTGCAATATGGGATTCACTATACATTTTTTTAATTATTATTAGAGGAAAGTATATCACCCTGGTATTAAAGGTTTTTTTCTTTATTGTTAATCATATATTAAAGAATGGCTTTGTGACAATTGCATCACCAGAAATCATTCCCCACCTTGCTCCCCTCTTCCATGGGCATCTCCTTCCTGCGTCTTTGTTTGGTCTCTCTGGTTGGACAGAAACTCCATTTGCTTCAATGACTCCACTTGCCTTCAAGCAGCTCGCCACAAAAGCTCCGAGTTAAGCTGTGGAATGTTGGTCCGCCAAACCAAGGAACATCCGCTTTAGATAACTTTCTTTTCATCTATACTTTTTTTTTATCATTTTAATTTAAATACTTTAATTTCTTTCAAATTTATTTATTAATTTCCAAAACTGTTTCGTTCTCGTTTATCCCACATATCTACATTACCTCTGTTAATGAAATTTTACATATGGGGTCACGTGCTACCATGTAAGCAACCACATGACAAGAGCAAATTTTCGGCAGCATTGTTTTTCTTTCTTTCTTTTTTTTTTTTTGGCCACATGGCAAGGCCAAATTTCCAGTAGCATTGTTTCTCTTTCTTTCTTTCTTTCTTTCCACATGGCAAGGCCAAATTTCCAGTAGCATTGTTTCTCTTTCTTTCTTTCTTTCTTTCTTTCTTTTTTTTTTGGCCACATCTCATGAGTAAAATTGCCACATCATTGTTTCTCTTTATTTTTTTGTTCACCGTTTTTCTTTAATTAAAACAAAATTTGTTATTAGAAAAATAATAAAACTAAAATATAAGTATTTTTAAAAATAATTTTAATAGGTATTTTTAAAATACAAATTAAAATATATTTTTATATTTTTCATTGAAAATATAAAAATATATTTTAATTTTACTAACCAACCAATTCAAATCACCTAATATTGAAAACAAAGTTTATTTTTGTAATTTTTCATACAAATTATTAAAAAAATAAAATAAATGCACTCTTAATTTGTGTTTTTAAAATACATGTTAAAAAAACTTTTAGAGAAATAATGTAATATTAAAAAAAGTGTAAAATAATTAACTCTTTCATAATTTATAATTCAGTTTCTATACTTAAATCTGTATCTTTTTCTTTTTTTTTTTTTATGAGAGAGTTAACTATTTTACACTTTTATTTTAACATTACATTATTTCTTTAAAGGTTTTTTTAACATGTATTTTAAAAATAGGAATTAAGAGTGCATTTATTTTTTTAAATAATTTATATGAAAAATTACAAAAATAAACTTTGTTTTCAATATTAGGTGATTTTAATTGGTTGGTTAGAAAATTTAAATTTTATTTTTATATTTTTCATCAAAAAATATAATAAAGATATTTTAATTTGCATTTTAAAGATACTTGTTAAAAAAATATTTTTTAAAATACTTATATTTTAATTTTATTATTTTTCTAATAACAAATTTTGTTTTAATTAAAGAAAAACGGTGAAAAAAAACAAGAGAAACAATGCTGCTGGAAATTTACCCCGGCCATGTGCGCAAAAAAAATAAAAATTGAAAGAGAAACAATATTGCCAAAAAATTGCTCTTGCTATGTGGCCAAAAAAATAATAATAATAAAAGAGAAACAATGCTGTCGCCGAAAATTTGCTCCTATCATGTGAGTGCTTACAAGGCAACACGTGACCCCAAATGTAGAATTTCGTTAACAGAGTTATGTGAGGGTAGACGACAATGAAACGGTTTTGGAAGTTGATAGATGAGTTTGAAAAAAATAAAATATTTAAATTTAAAAAAATAATAGTTAATAAATGATTTATTAAATTAAGTCCCTTCCTTCTCTCAATGTTCTATGACTCCTGCTACCCGCAAAATGGCACAGCCTTAATTTTGATGGATCTTCCTTTGGTAACCCCGGACATTCAGCAGCCAGAGGAGTTATCAGAAACAGCAATGGTTACCAGTTAGTTGGCTTTACCACAAAAATTGGCCTCGCCACTGCCTCCATACCCATAGGGTGGATTTCCAAAATTTTGTTGCTGAGCTTTGGGGGAATCGACACTGCCTGGGGGGACCATTGTTGTCAAAATCGAGTTTTAAATCGTAAAATTGTGTAATTTTATGATTTTAGGTATGTATTTTGTGTAAAATCTATGGTAAAATCGGAATCCCATGAAATCAAAAGAAAAAATCGTAAAATCGCGATAGTATGGTAAAATAGTTTGAGATCTCGATTTTACTTTTATAGAGTGGAGGAATCACCCTGACGATTGGTCGGTTGTTGTGAGATGGAGGAGATGACTTGCGATTGTTGTTAGCTGAAGGAGAGCAGATCGATGATGAGGAACGAGTGATGAGAATGGTGATTAGAGATGGAAGGGGTGAAAACTGATGATTGAAGAAAATGGAGAAAGAGGGTTTTGGATAGGAGAAGAATCGGGTGATCACTAGTGATGGAGATGGAGGCTGTTGATTGGAGAAAAAAATGGTGAAAGGGATTCCAGATGGAAGAAAAATCAGGCTTTCTCTTCTTTTTTTTTTTTCTTTTTGCTGTCTGCAACCTCCTTTTTTTGGGTGTGGCTCTCGCCGCTCTCCCCTTCTAAAGAGAAAGGAAAACTATTGGATTTGAGTTTTAATGGGCTGATTTGTGAAAGTGGCTAATGGGCTTAATATTTGGGTTTGGGTTGGATTTGTTGGTTTTTCTTGGTGGATTTCACCCCTTAATTTTTACATTCTTCACATACATTTCTTTCTTTAGTTCCTTTTT